TTGAATAATGGAATGGATACCGACTGAACTGCATAATTGAAAAATCGAACTATTTATAAGCCTACAATAAATGCGCAACATATGCAGCTAGTATTCCTATTACCAACTTATGTATCTCAAACTAAGACAATGACCCATAAGGTATGGCATTTGCATCTTTAATCAGGAAGTCAAACTTTGCTTCTTAATTCACACTTTCTCCACCCACAATTTGAATGCAATTGCCTTGTGAACGGCACCACCGCCAAAGATATGAACACCATTAATTAGTGCTTCTATGATCTCAAATACCAATTGCACTATCGCCATGTCCACAATCTATAAATGAGTAACACTGGAGGACTCTGTTCAGCATCAGAATCAACAATGGCAGGTCTGAGCTTCCTTTGTTGTGGAGCACTCTTATTTGCATCAATTTTTCTTAATCCAATTAGCTGCCATGCTCGGTTCAGGCCTAGAGATGCACCACATAAGGCCTTGTTTGTGTTCGGAGACTCATTGTTTGATCCTGGCAACAACCAGTACCTTAATGACTCCTCACAAGAGGGAGCGGGAGCGACAGTCTTCCCTTATGGAGAAACCTTTTTCAAACGCCCCACTGGAAGACTTTGTGATGGCCGCACAGTTCCGGATTTTATTGGTATGACATTAATGTTAGCTTTCTTAATTGTTTAAATTAATTGATGTATATATATATATATATATATGCAACTGTGAGTAAATGGTGACAGTATGTACTTCATTAATTTGGCGCAGCCCAGTTTGCCAATTTGCCCATACTCCCACCATACCTGCAACCGGGGGATCATCAATTCACTGATGGGGCTAACTTTGCTTCTGCTGGAGCTGCTGTTCTTGATAACACTCGTCCTGGATCGGTATGCAATTTCGTCTTCAGTATTTTGAATAAATTAGGAAAGTTTCAATCAGTGTAGAATTTTAAGGCCTACCGAGCTCTGGCCATTACATAATCTCCTCTGTTCTGCAGATAAATCTGAGGTTGCAGCTAAGCTACTTTAAGGATGTGGTGAAATCACTGAGAGAGAAACTGGGTGAAGAAGAAGCCAAGAGGGTGTTGATGAATGCTGTTTATCTGTTCAGTATTGGAGGCAATGATTACTTCGGCTTTTCTCAGAGAAATCGCGACGCTTCAGAGGAATCAGAGGGTCAATATGTCCAATCAGTCATCGGCAACTTAACATCTGTGCTCAAAGTGAGTAACCTGATTTTACTTTCTACTAAGATGATAACCACAATTACATTTTCTAATTTCAATATCTTAATTTGCAGGAGATATGTGATTTAGGAGGAAGGAAAATTGCATTTCAAAATGTAGGGCCATTGGGTTGCGTACCAATGACGAAAGTATTTGATCCTTCAATAGGAAGTGGTTGTGCCGAGGAACCTTCATCACTTGCAAGACAACACAACAGATATCTAGCTATTTTTCTTAAGCAGCTAGAAACCCAGTTGCCAGGATTCAAATATGCAATATTTGATTACTACATTGCACTTGGCGACAGAGTTGCTAATCCTTCAAAATATGGTAACTTTTAAATTAATGATGACCTGAACTTTCATCAAACATGCAATTAAATTTGTTGTAATTTGTTTTGTGTTTGTTATGTGGTGAAGGATTCAAAGAGGGGAAGGCTGCATGCTGTGGCAGTGGGCCTTACAGAGGAATGAATTGCGGGAGAACAGAAAATGGGACGCAGATGTTTGAGTTATGCAGTAATCCTGCAGAATATGTGTGGTTTGATGGTGGACATACCACAGAGAGAGCTAACACTCAACTCGCTCAGCTACTTTGGGACGGAGCACCACCAGTCTCAGCGCCTCTCAATATGAAACAACTATTCAGTTTTTGATTAAATTATCCTTTGCATTATTCTGATTAATTATGCGGTGTGATTATCTTATCCTGTCATCATATATAGCACAGCATAGTCCTTGTTATGTAGGATTTCTATGGTCTTAATAAAAAATATTACTTTATTTATAGCACTGCAATTAGCATAATTTTCTTCGTGCTGAAGTTTTCAAACAACAAATCATGAGTTTCAAGCACCCGTTGACTTCTTTATTTCGCACTAAATATAATCTTGAGTACTTGCCCCATAACTAATCCAAATGTCTCTTGTATTACCTCATTTGCTGCGTCATTGTCCAATTAACACTTAGGATTCAACTATGTATGCTAATTGGTTTCGATGGAGGACCTCCTCCACGTCTACATGTATAGGAAAAATCGTGCTTAAAGATAACATTATTAGAATTAATGTACAAGATTAACGAAATGAGTTTGAGTTCAGTTTATAAATTTTAGGTTTCATAAGTAAGTAAACATGTGTTTGGGTGAAAGATGTTTGTGTAAAACCTTTGCACGTAAATTTTTGGGTTTTTAAGCAAACCGTGGAAAGTGAATCCCAAGTTCATTTGCTAGTGCAAGAGGTTCACATCTCTACTCTATAGACTTGGCATCTTGGTGAGATCTTTACACCAAACAATCAAGTTGCAAACTCTCTTTGATACTGTTGATGATTATTTTTTACACCAATAACCTCGCATGTGCAAAGTGCTTGGAGATTATAAATCACACGTAAATGGATTATAAGAGTTGATTATGGTGCACTGTTATCATAATAGTATCCAAAGATGTAAAATAAATGAGACAATAAGAGTTTTACAGTAGTCCGGATGGTTAAAGTGAATTTTATATCCACTGTTTTTTTTTTTTTTTTTTTATATGAGTGATAGCCAAGATTACAAGAGATTGTGAACTGCGATCTGAGTTATAGGTGCTTGGTTTTCTAAGTGTTCTTAGAGAATATCAAGCTAGTCTCTTTCCTTTGGTATGTTTTTGTTATTTTCTTTGTTGAATTCAGAGTGTCTGATCTCGATTTTGTGAGGGAGAGTTGCCTATTTATACCCCTTGAGCTCAAGGTAATGATTATATATTTGCAAGTGGGTTGGTGCCGTGTAGATCCTTCCTAGAGTCCCATTAGCTGATAACTTAGAAAATATTTTTAAATTAAATGAGGCTTAGACAGGTGTACGAACCAAATTCATTTACAGACAAACTTGAGTCGGCTGAATTATTAACAGTTATATTCTCTCTATCTTGGGAGACATGGCAGACTCTGAATGACGCAAAACCTTCTTGAATTCTAATTAGTGTTACATCAGCTTATATCAGTTCTGACTTTTTAGACATAACAAATATCAATGGTTGAGCTTACTCTTTAATACCAATAAAAGTAGTGTGAGAACGACTTGAGGAAACTTCTTTAGAAGAAATGTAAAGCCGACTTAAAGAAAAGTAGTGAAAACAACTTAATTGGAGTCCTGATAATAAGGACAAGTTAAGAAGGGAAGAGAACTGTAACTAAAACATGTACAGTAGAATCCAAAATGTCGAATCAGCGATGACGTAACTAATAAGGTAATATATAAGACAAATTAGCTGAATCCCATGCCAATTAACTCCTGATTTTCAGTACAGTAATATTTTACTTAAAATTGGAGTTATATAAACAAATAAAAATTATATAAAATAATTAATATATCTTTTATTTTTTATCAATTGTATAATTCAGTTATATGATTCGATTATAAGTATGTATTACTCTTTTTAAGTAGGAACTTAAACAAGTCAACCAATGTTTAATTGTTTTACGAACTGAGACTCATGCATGATTTTCTGTATTAATTAAGGGCTTCTGCATCAGGAAAATTACATGCAATAGTTGTAAACAGTATATAAAACTCTGACGAAATTCAACAAACCGTGGCCTCAATGGCACAACTATCTGAAAATCAAACTTTGTTTCTTACATTAATACTCTCCACTCACAATTTCAAAGCAACTGCCACGTGATGACCACCACTGACGAATGGGCGATGGCTAATAAATTAAATATAAGTGTAACTTTGAATAATCTAGAATTATCTATTATTTGGCTCAAAGGCGCTGCTGGCTGATTACTAATTGAGCTTCACGTGCCTACATATATACCTTTCAACTCATCAGTGTTCTACTTCCAGCCATGATCTGTGTTGTAACCACAACCAAATACACACAATAAAGTAAAATAGAAAAGTAAAGAGAGCACACAATTTATTCTGATTAGTTTTAATTAAAGAATTATATCCAACATTCAAATAGAAAAATTTTATTCAATATCAGAAAGCTGTAGCAATTACAATTAAGTGAAAGTATACACTATATCCAATAATCTGATTCTTGTCAAGCATGGACTTACAATTAAGTGAAAGGAAGACCATCAATATAATAAACAATTTATCACATTGAACATAATTAGAATATATTAATTCATGGGGAATATAAAAGTTATTAGTTGTTGACAATTATTTTGTTAATAGACAAATTGGAGACATTCCACATGTCAGAGGAATTTTATGACAATTATTTTATTGATTGATATGTGTATGTACTTTATTGTTTATATGTTGCATAATTAAAGTTACAATATCAAATTAAGGTTCATATCAAATTTAGGGTTTCTACAATTTTGATTTGATTCTATGCAATTAAATTGTGCTTTATGGTTCAATTAAGTTTATAGGGGAGTCTTCCCCGTTGTAGAAATATACTGCAAACTCTTTTGTTGTGAAGTTTGGTGAAAAAAAAAAAATCTTTAACTTAGATACGGACCTTTGACAATTCAAAAAAATTCTCATGTAGGTTAGACTTTTTCTAATTTTCAATACGAAAAAAGTTTGATGACTGTTTATATGGATTTCATCTAGATCTAATGCTGACCTCTACAAAAAAGATAGATGTATTCATACAACAATATATACAAAATGTGGCACACATTTAACTCATGGTGTATAATTGTACCTTGCTATCGCCTTTTCAATGTAGAAAATAGGTTATACCAAACTAGTTAGCTAGTTAAACTTTTAAGATTGTCAGTTGTGGGCAACTATACGCATACAAATTTTGTTAATTATAACTAACAATCTTTCGTGGAATAGAATTCTTCAAGGAAAATGGAACCGGCGGCAGCTTCATCTATACGGAGTCTTCTCTACGTAATGTTTCTGTTGTATTCTAGCCTTCTTATTGCTCCAGCAAGCTCTCAGGGTGATGAGTCCAGGCAAGCTAATAACAAACATGTTGCCATCTTTGTGTTTGGAGATTCGGTCTACGATCCAGGAAACAATAACTATCTCCATGTTCGCATTGACTACAAGGCCAATTTTACACCATATGGGGAGAGTTTTTTCAAATATCCGACTGGAAGATTCTGCAATGGCCGTATCGTCCCTGACTTTGCTGGTATGGTAGCCAGCTAGTGAATTACGATTATGTCGATCCGTCTCAGGATTAATTGTGTTGTTTATTTAAATAATGCAGCAAAATACTCAAATTTACCACTCTGGGAACCATACTTACAACCTGGAAGTCATAATTTTAGCAATGGAGCTAATTTTGCAAGTGCTGGAGCTGGTGTTCTTGAAGAAAGTGAACCACTTACGGTATGTACAACATTTTATTCAAATAAGTTACTAGGCAAAATATATCTTGACAATGCTTTTAATGTTTATAGCTTTACAGCCAAAAACAGCTAAGCTATTTTAAGGAGGTGGCCAATTTAATGAAGCAGCAACTCGGTGATGCAGAAGCCAAAAAGATACTGGCCGATGCAATCTATTTCTCTAGCTTTGGAGGCGTTGACTACATGTCTTTCATTGACGATACTGCTAATCCTACCAAATTACAACAACGGGAATTTGTAAATATGGTGATTGGCAATTTTACAGATGTGATTATGGTAAAATTCTGCTCAGGAAACTTCTCAAAATGAGGTTTTCCCATGTTATTCTTATATATATATATATATATATATGGATGTATGTATGTATATTTTATTTTTTTTTCTGTTTTTCATGAAGGAAATATATGAAATGGGAGGGAGGAAATTTGCATTTCAGAATGTGGGACCTTTGGGTTGCCAACCAGAGTTCAAACAACAGTACAATCATAGTGGTGGTGGTTGTGTAGAAGTGCTCCAAGAATTCGCTAGTCTCCACAATAGTCTTCTGTCTAATGTCACTGTGGAGTTGCAAAGCCAATTATCAGGATTCCAATATCTAATTTTTGATTTCTTCAATTCACTTAACGATTTGATAAATTATCCTATAAAATATGGTAAGTTATATATAGGTCATAATTTTTTGTTTTCTTTTAAATGCTCAGACGTAATCTCGCTCTTAGTCTAACTTTTGCTGTAAACCTTGTCTATTGTAGGCTTTAATGTGTCAGAAATTGCATGTTGCGGCATCGGTTTGTATCGTGGTTCCGAATGCGGAAGAGTAAAAGAATATGAACTATGTAATGATCCTAATGAGTATGTGTTTTTCGATGGAGGTCATGCTTCTGAACGTGCTAATTCTATATTATCCAACTTCTTGTGGAATGGAGGACCAGAGTTTACGTGGCCTCTTAGCATGAAGCAACTTTATGAACTCAACTCCACCACCACCATTGAGATTTTATCAAACGATAAACTTTTATTTCCCACGTAACCCATCAAGTTAAATTGGGCAAATTATTGTGTAGTGAAGTTAGGTGAAAATAAATATGAATCTTTAATGGGACTGTTTTGATAATTCAGGAAAATTCTTTTGTCCATTATAATTTTGTGATTTTCAGTATGAAAACGTTTGAATGTAGACCGACCGTTTATATGGATATCATCTAATGCAAACCTCTACAAAAGAGATAGCTAAATGTGTGCCACATTGAGTCTAATACAAACTGTTACATGAATCAATCTATCTCTTTTGTAGGTTTAATTCTTGACTTGTGTGGCAGTGATTGTGGTGGCTTAAAGTGGTAATCCACTTGTCATTACAATATCTCAATTTATTTTTTCACGTGGGACAAGAAAGCCAAAATATATATTGAACTATGAGTGGCGTATTGTTTGTTACTTCTACGAATTATTGAGGTGTAATAGTTTGGTAAAATAAACCCGAGTCAATTAATAAAGTTCTGGCATAATCAAAGATAGAATTGAGGAAAAATGTGTTTAGATTTCCTAAATATTATATAAATATTCAGTAATCCTTTAATTATATCAGGTTTACGATCTCATAATATTCTAGATATTCTGTAATCTTTTAATTATATCAGACAAAATCTTGTATAATATGTAAATAATATAATTATGAGATTCATGAGATCGTATACTACCTATATAAAGATTGTAACTCCTTATTAATAAATCAGTGAATTTTGAAACATCCAATTCTTTCAATAAACATGGTATTAGAGCCACTCTTTAATCTAAAAAATTGCTTCTTGTAGGCGGTTTGGGCCGCTGTAAGATTTCTCTAAATAATTAAATTCTTAATTGGGTTTGGGCTTAGGAAAATTGATCCCAATAATATTAGGTTTTTCTCATTAAAACTATTATATGAGCTTATAATTCTCTTATATGAGTAAAATAGCAAATCATGGGAAAATGCATTCATTGTAACGAAAGAGGTGAAAAGATAATTCAATAATATTGACTCTATTGAATATGGCCTATTTATTGGATAAACAAGGATAAATAGCGCATGTTTTCTCTCTTTACTAGTTTGATATTTGTGATTGTTTATTTGTTTGATTTCATATATCTTGGGAATGCTTTCAATTTTTAGCTTTACAGCCAAAAACAGCTAAGCTATTTTAAGGAGGTGACCAATTTACTGAAGCAGCAACTCGGTGATGCGGAGGCCAAAAAGATACTAGCCGATGGAATCTATTTGTCTAGCTTTGAAGGCGCTGACTAAATGTCTTTCATCAGAAGTACTTCTAATCCTACAGAATTACAAAAAGGGGAATATGTAAACATGGTGATTGGCAATTTTACAGATGTTATTAAGGTAAAAGTCTGCTCAGTAAACTTCTACTATTGAGGTTTTCCCATGTTATTCTTCTTTATATATATATATATATATTTTTTTTTTTTTTCTATTTTTTATGAAGGAAATATGTGAAATGGGAGGGAGGAAATTTGCATTTCAGAATGTGGGACCTTTGGGTTGCCTACCATTGTTGAAACAAGAGTACAATCTTAGTGGTGGTGCCTGTGTAGAAGTGCTCCAAGAATTCGCTAGTCTTCGCAATAGTCTTCTGTCTAGTATCATTATGGAGTTGCAAAGCCAAATATCAGGATTCAAATATTTAATTTTTGATTACTTTAATTCAATTAATAATAGGATAAATTATCTTACAAAATATGATACGTTATATATAGGTCATAATTTTGTTTTTCTTTTAAATGCTCAGACGTAATCTAGCTCTTACTTTTAAGTTTTGCTGTAAATCTTGTCTATTGTAAGCTTCAATGTATCAGAAATTGTATGTTGCAGAATCGGTTCACATCGTGGTTATGAATGCAGAAGAGTAAAAGAATATGAACTACGTAATGATCCTAATGATTATGTGTTTTTCGATGGAGGCCATCAATCTTAGCATGCTAATTCTATATCATCCAACTTCTTGTGGAATGGAGGGTCAGGTTTTACATGGCCTCTTAGCATGAAACAACTTTATGAACTCAATTCCACCACCGGCAGACTTCAGCCACATATCTTATGAGTCAATAATTTACTATAATTAATTTATAGAGAGAGATAAGAAATTACTCTATAATTGTACGGTGCTAACTCCATTTGTATTTGGGGTTTTTAGCTTGCAACTTGTGGGCATAAATACGGATATGTGTATTGTCAGTTCCAACTAGATAAATAATTGAAGGTCAAACCTACTAAACAACATAGACTAACTTTTTATATAGTATCTAATGAGTATATAATTAGTTTGTTTAAGATTCTAATATATGTTTTAAGTTATAATAAATTAAATATATTAGATATAGTTCCAAAATGTTTGTTAAATTGTTTAATTTAAATCATTAAGATAGTTCTTAGGTTAATTACTTTCTTTAATTTTAATGGATCAACGGTCATATAGTAAAATAAAAAGTACAGTTAAAGAAGAGTTTTGGAATTAAGAGTAACATGAGAAAGATATAAATTAAGAGTACCGTTTGATACATATTAAAATTAGATGATTTATTATATTCCTATATGATTTATTTAGTAGCTAGATCAACTAAACATATCATTGTAATGATCATATGCAGAAATAATCTAAGTGCGTTACAAGCTGCAAAAAGAATTATGGAAGCTCAAACAATTGCTTCACATTGTAAGGCCCTGTGACATTTGGTACTCCGATCCAAATAAACTCGTCTAATTAGTTGTTTATCTGTTGTGTGGTGTGGCCACCATCGATGAAGACATACTCACTAGGGTTTGAGCAGAGTGTATAAGCATTTTTTCCATTGAACTGTCCACTGCCACAACATGCTTTGATCCCTTCTTTAAAACCTTCATGACGCAGTCATAATATATATATATATATATATATATATATATATTTTATAGATAATATATATATTTTTTTTTTTTTTTTTTTTTTGTTACGCTTAGCACATGCGCACCTCGACTAGTATCTCGATCCCAAACAAAGCTTTTAAAACAGGATAAGTCTTGTAGTCTGTTACCAATAATATTAACAATCGTTCTTGTGATTTGAACCTGAGACCACAGGAGGAGCAAACTTCTTGACTCCAAGTCTTTACCACTCAGCCAACCCATTGTTGGTTATAGTCATAAAATATTAATTAGTTCAGTATATGTCACTTGTACTAATTAGGGCGTTCAGAACCACACAAATTCAGTTTTTATAATGACTAATTATATATAACGTACCATATTTTGAAGCACTGTTAATTCTATAGAGAAGTGCATGATAATAATCAAATATGGAATATTTGAAACCTGTTAAACGTGTCTCTGAACTTCTTGAAGGCCTTTGAAAGGGCTTTGTTGTGTAGTGTTGCATGTACTAAAAAGTTATTGTTACAACTTCCATTTAGTTGAGGGAAAAATTGCTTAAACAATGGTCCGACATTCTGGAATGCAAATTTCCTTCCGCCGAGGTCATATATTTCCTGCAAGGTAAAAAAAAAAAAAAAATTAAGATAATTTTCATTAAATCTCTCTATCTTGTTTGTCTTGTCTAGCCTTCTGGTTCCTACAAGCACACATGTTGAGTCCTGGCAGCTAATAACAAACATGTTGCCATATTTGCGTTTGGTGATTCACTCTACGATGCTGGAAACCTCCACTTCTCAACAAAAATGGCAGACGACTGGGTAGTAACTTATCCATTAAATGTAAGTGCAACTTTATTTTAGGTACATGAACAAATTTAATTTAATTTCAAGATTTATATATAATTTGGCTCAAAAGTGCGCGCGGTCGTTTGATTAGTAAGTGAGCTTCACGTGCTTGCTTACCTTTCAACTCATCAGAATTCTGCTTCCCGAGGCCATGATCTGTTAAAGCTTGAATTACAACTAAGTACTCCTAAAACGAAGACCTTCAGTAAAGTAAACAATTTATCACATTCAACATAGAATATGTATTAATTCACAGGGAAGACTCCCTATTATAAAAAGATAAAGCAAACTCTTCTGTGGTGGTGAACTGAAACTTAAATAGGGACCCTCGACAATTCAGGAAAACTCTCCGTCACCGTTTATGTGGACATCATCTAATGCAAACCTCTACAAAAGAGATAGATTGATTCATATATATATAACACTTCATATTTATATTAAATGTGGCATACACACATTTATCTTATATATGATGCTAACTCATTTTCTATAAAATATAGATTTGACTTAATTGGCACAAGTCCTTCCAAATCAGTTGGCTAGTCAAACTTACAGGATTGTTAGTTGTGGGCAATTATTTTGCAAAATTTCAACTAGATATGGTTGTCGGTATGCCGGGGTCAATGATCTTAGTTTATCTAAAAGGAAAAAAAAAAAAAAAAAATTAACTCATGGGAACTTGGGTCCAAAGCGAACAACATGTACAATAGACCGGTGTGTTTCATTTGGTTTTAGAGTTAGAGTAGACCCAACTTGTGGGCTCAACATCTTAAAGAGTGGACAGTGTTGATCAAGCTGATATTATGCTGGAAACTGCATGTAGGATGTCAACTTTTGGAATCTGATGCTGCAATGTTGGCGGCAAAGTTTAAATTTTTGCTG